ATGTAAAAAAAGAACTGAATATAAGAATTTTTAATTTTTAATGCTTTTTTCAAATATTTCCTTTTGTTTAATATATTCTTATGTTTAAATTACATGAAATTCAAATATTTATTTACTAATTAAGTCCTTTTACATCGTTAATAGATTCAATAAATAATTAAAAAGTTTTATAAATTATATTTTTTATACGGCATATAAATGTTAAATATTAAGAATTATAATTTGAGTATAGTTTTAAACTTACTAAATATATCAGAATAATAGTTTGGCTTCATTTTGATGGAATACGGCAACAAATGGGCAATATACAAAGGGAGAATGCTTCTTGAGAGGACTTTCTATACGAGACTGGCCCCTATTTAGTGTTGCATACATAAAGATCTGAATAATGGATAAATAACGAATATAATATAAATCGATGTACAAATATTGATGATTTATTTTAATAGATTATCAATCAGTATGATTGATTAATGTTTATAGGAGAGAAATTCATAAATCATAAAATTTAAACAAGGAAATAATAAAACATTAAATAGTATAATCACTAAACAATAGTCATTTAATAGATATTTTTAATGTTATGAATAATTTTTCACTGTAAATAGGAATCAGGTTATAATTTATCTATGTTTAGCAAAAATTTATAAAAATTTTATTACTTTTAAACAACTGTTTTAATTATAAAATCCTGACAACTTAAATATGGTTTTATTTGAATGTATCTGTGAAATCGGCATGAAAACATTTCCAACTTTGACATTTTTCATTGTTTTTCGTATGTTTGCTGTTGACCTGATATATTTAATACTTTTTTCCTTTCAATCTGTTTTATGGAATTATGTGTGAAAAGTAAATAAAGCATAAAATTTCTGTCAAATTTAATCAAATTGAATTCTGTGTTAGTCAAGAAACCAGCTTGACCTCATCCGTCAAAAATTTAATATCAGAACGGTTGTTGCAAAATCTCGTCTTCGTTCTCTTAGATCTTCAACATCGCACTCTATTAAGATTTTTAGTTTTTACGCCTATCTTTTATCGAAATTAATATAGGTTTCTGTGCCAAGAACTGGTGGTAACAAAGAGCATTCGTGTTAGAATAATTTTTTAGGATTTTCAGACCTTTATCTTGTTTTCATTTAAGCTTAATAAAATAAAAATTTTTACAAGAAAATTAAAAAAAAAATAGAAAACATATATTCTAATAAGTAATTGATTTTTATCTCTTTTATATTTTAATAATAATTTATTATACTTGAGTACATTGAGATAATTTACATGGCTCAGTTTTTTACAGCGAAATTCTTTGAGGTGTTACCTTTTCAAAAAAAAATCCTTGTAAAATATAAATACAATTTTTCATTAAATTTTATCTTATATTAAAGCTTCCTTACAGGCATATCAACCTAAGTCTTCCAGTATCTTTGTTCCGAAGTTCAGAGAATCCGTAGATTCGCTTGAACAATAGAACGTGACAGTTTGCTGAAGTAGAACAGCTCATTCATTACGAGACACGTCTTCTTTATCAAAGACAATATTTATCATTTGGATTGAGTAAGGAAAATATTATTTCCGGGGTTTTCTCATTTGTGATGTTTCTAACCGAAACTTTTATTTTAAAATAACTCAAATAATGTCAATAAAGTTTTATAAAAGTTCAAAAAATTATGATTTCTGATAACTTGTGTTTAAGTCTATAGGACAATTTATATTATCTGAATAAAAGTATAGCTATATAAATTTCAAATGAATTACTTAAAAATAATAACGATAAAAGAAAAATTATCTAAGATCATCGATATTTGCCCAATTTATAACTTGTTAAATAAACGTTTACAATATAATTAGGCCAGGGAGAAACCTTGAAGTTTACTTAGTTTCTTTCTCCGTCTACAATTATAGGTAATTTTATTATATTATATTCTAAAGTTAACGAACTGGTAGCCTTTGAAAATATTTATAGATATAGTATTTAGCATAATTGAAACATTCAATGATACACATACAAATCTGTAGATAGCGAAAAAGAGAATAAGTCACACTTCGATGCTTTTCGTTTGATGAACATACGGTATAACACGTGATTTATCCAAGTTGTTTTATTCTTTTTCCAGATGAAAATATACTCACTGGCAGACTGACCTGTTTTAGAAGAAATAAGAAAGTAGATTCAGATGGGATTTAAGGTAAGTGATCTTATTAACACAGTACCTTGTACTCGAAGGTATAAATTAGACTATTTTTCTTTAATTAATCTAAACTTGAGTTTGTAATAGTTAAATGATACAGCATCTTTACGTGAAGTTCATTGAAACTAAAATTTGACATTAAATTGAAAAGTATTTAATATTTTTCAAAAAATTACATTAAAATAAAGCGATACACAAAAATTATCTATACTGCTTTTTATTATTTATTTACCAAAATTTATTATTATTTTGCTGGAATTAAAACATGAAGTTTTATTATATTACTTTCAATAGAAAACTTTCGAAATTTTCATGTTATTTTACTAAAATTTGATATTTTTATTTATAATTTGAGAATTATTTATTATAGAAACTTGTAAACTAAAAACTTCTAAGAGTCAATACATATACTTTTCAATAACTGTTCATGCATTTCTATTTATCTCTATTTTTGATATTATTGATCACTTTTGAAGAATTTTCCAGAAATCTCAGAAATGTTTAATTCAAAATATCTAGAGAATACTAAAACATCTGTTTACAAACTACAAAAACATTAATATTTTAATGCTGTAAGGATTGAAAATCATTAAGAAATACGCCTACTAACGTAGCTATATATTTTAATTACACCTATTTTTTAATCCATAAAAATGTTTATTTTAATGTACAGTACTATAAATTAAAAATAAATTAATATTTCAAAACATATATGATTTTATCTCTCACTAAATTTAATAATTCTGCATGTTTTTCTCAAACTTAATAGATGTATAAATATAGAAAGAACTATAATGATGTAGTGAATATTTATTGTGAAAGTATTCTTTATAAATCTCTATTTGTTTTTTAAAATTATCAAAAATTTAAATAAAATTTTGAATCCACAAAATACTAAGTGTAAAATTTTTAAGGAGAAAAGAGGATACTAAAATTAAACAAAGAAAAAGAATTAACTTTTCTAAACATATATAAACAATTAAACTTGTATTTTAGTTTAAAATTTACAACTTTATTTAAATATTTTTTACTGTATGAATATTTATTAGTTTAAATTGTAAAAGTATTATTCAACAATTACGTAACATAGAATTATAAAATAAAATATTTCAAAGGTTTTTATTAGAAAACATAATTTAACTAAACGGCATAAATTTAGATTTCCTGTAGAGTTTTGTTGAAGATAAGTATAATTTTTCATTTTTTATTATATAAATATATTACTTGGTTTAGCATTCCGTTAACAATATCGAATTGGATGTTATTTCTTCACTTTTAAATAATATTTAGCGAACTAATAGCTCTGTATATGTATATATAATAATTCTCGACATTTTATTTAATCATCATTATATAATAACACTTATAATACAGTCTTTTAATAAATTATTATAGTTTTTTTTATATCAAATACTTAATCTTCATTTACATTCCTTCACACAATGTATACATTTTCATTATGGGAAGAAATAGAGAGAAGACGAGATAAGGATAAAAGTGATTTCTCCATTTAAATCATATAAAAAGTTGAAATGAGTTCCTTGTACTACTGAGAAATTTTTAAAGTTCTTTGACTTTCCTCACTGAATTTTGATGGTGACGTGTTTATTTATTTCCTTACGCCGATTGATACGCTCTCACATCTGGATCATAGCAAATGGATTGCAATAACACCAAATAATAAATAAAAATGCAGTCAAGTATAAAAATTCTTATATCAGCGAGTGTTCAGTTTAAATAAATTTCGTTTATTTTTATTATATCAATAAACAAAATAAAATATATATATATACAATTTATACATTTTAAATGTTATGTAATTATAGTTTTAATTTACATTTTTAAGAATTCTGTCGAAATTTAAGTTTTTAAAAATAAATATATCTACAATAATATAAAATATTTATTGCATTTTATGTAATAAATATTTTATTTATGTAAAGAGGAATTTTTAAATTCTGACAAAATTCATAAAAATTTATCGTAATATATTCCATAACGTGCTTTTTACGGACTTTTCTTCGTAAGAAAATCCATTTTGATACTGTAAAAAGATATTATTTATAATGTTCTTTTAATAATAATTAATAAATCTTTGATACAATTATTTAAGCATAGAAAGTTAGACTCATCGGAGGAGCATATGAATGCACGCCCTACTAACTGTTACAGTTAATTAACGCTCTTTGTAGAGAAACTTTTCCTATTAACTACTGAGCAGGTCAGTAACCTCTCGCAACCATCGCGAATCCCAGAGAGATTCATTTATATTTTATTTGACAGCATAAAAATATATTTATATAAGTTTCAGTTTTAAATTCTAAGACAATAATGAACATATCAATGTTCATCTTGAACTTAATATAATACAATGAAAAGATGTTTTGATGGCTTAATGTAGCTTACTTTTTATAACAGAATATATTCTTTTATTCTTTTTTTCACATTTTTAAAAATTTAAATGTTGAATAAGAATGCATTTTAAAAATCATTATTTTTATATATTTTATTTAGATAAAATTTAATTAACTTTTAAAATTTAAAAAGCTATGTAATGTATTAATATTCCAATTATATTTTAATTAATTAATATATAAATTACTTAATTAAAGTAATGCTATATTAAATCATTAATGTGATGTCAAAATGAATTTAAGAACCAAAATATTTCAGATATGCAATTTAAATTAATAATTGCATAATATTTATTTTTTAAGAAAATCAACTTTTAAAATTAGAATAAAATTTAAAGATATATTTTAGATATCGCATAGGAAATACTTCAGGATATGAAGTACTGTACACGATTTTGAAAATTTTAATGCATCTCTTTTCCAAAATTCGTCTCGTCGTCTCGTTTAGTGTAATGTTTTACGTATCAACACATTGACACTCCATTAGAAATGCGTTTAAATATTGTCATTTTTATTAACAGCTACTAAATTAACTATTTATCACCTAAATAATACTTAATTATAGTGATTAACAATTTAATTATATTGACCAAACCACTGGACTAGATTATACTTTTAGTTTCCATGATTCTAAATACTGTACTGTTTTAGAATCAAGTTTTAAATATAATTCAGTAGATTCACGCAAAAGATCGATTTATATAAAAAAAATACACGAGTTTCCTTTTGTTTTTTTTCATTCGTTTTACTGATTCACGCAAATAAATAAATAAATTCTCATTTCTTCAGTGATTCGTGCAAATGATTAAGTTGTGCTTTTAAAAAATTGCCGTATATTATATTATAAAATGTGCCAAATATTGACATGAATCAGTGGACCAACAAGAAAAAATCAAGGAGATTGCATAGACTATTATTACTTTTTGTTAAGTTAATAAAAATAATGTAGTCAGAAGTGTCGCGAATTTTTTTTTTATAAGAGACAGTTTAGATCATGTTCTGAAAGATAACTTCATGCTCGAATGTTAGTAATCAAATACAATGGAGCAGAGGATTTGCTTACCCATTCCAGTGTCCTTGATATTCTACAATACTTCTCACAGAATGTATAGGCCAATACTTTTATTTCCAAAACATGATACATTATTCAAAGCATCGTGACACGCTCACAACTAATCTCAATAATAGATAGTAGCAATGTTTCCTTTAATCATCTCATATTACGTGTCTTGGATTATTTTAAATTATACTTTAATGTAAGCGTATACTTATTATTATATAACCTTGAAATATTTTCAAATTTATAAATAATTTTTAAATTATTTAATAATGTGTACTGAATTCATTGAATTATCATGACTAATATTTTAGTTATTTTGTTTTGAAAGACAAGCAAAAAATTATAGTATTGTATATAGAATTTTTCCTGTAAAGTAATTTTTCTTTTCAAAAATATACGCTGTTTTCCTTAAAAGTAGAGGAAACTACTGAAATTTTCTTAAAAAATAAATGCAGAAAATTTTGCTAATGATGAATTTAATATCTTAATGTAGTCATTTCACTTATAATTAAGATTTATTATATATATATATTTAAATATTTTT